TTAGAAACAATCCCATGAAAGAAAAAAACATTTCAATACATAACTTAGGGTTCAACTCTTATTCACAATGTGTGTCTTTCTCCTTTATATATTAATATTATATTATTATAAAATTAAATAGTACACATTATATATTATATAATTCCATATATATCCACAAATATATATATATATATATATATATATGTCACTCAGAGCACTGTCAATCTTTTGCATTCTGCCAACTTGGTAAGCAAAATTTATCTCCTAAGTTGTCTGCACTTTCTGATTATTGAGATGTGGCACTATTACATCACTGACAATGTTCAAAGTTTTCACAACTTTTAGGATATTATTGGTATATTAAAGTGTGATTTCAATGAAATCCTTGTTAAAAATGTTTTACTAGTATAGGATAAAGAGAAAAATGCCATGATCATAATATTTAAAAGAACCAGAGTTTCCAATATATATTCCAAGATGAAATAGAGAATTAAGATCTAGTATTTCATCATTTCAAGCTCAATGGCACACACTCCCTGTTTCCCCCCATACATGAAAATCCTAAATAGAACAATTCACTAATACTTCCAGATCAATGATGGCATCCATCTCTAATTAATAGTTTTGAGGGTCTATAGTCTCCTTGATAGGAGAATTTACATAAGTAAGTTCTATTAACATTAATAGGTGTTACCAGCATAAATCCTCCTGCAGTGATACTTCAAAAGATCCCACAGTGTACTATGATATACGTTCTTATGATTACCTGTCAAATGGTCCTAAGAGTCATAATAACCTGAAAGAGCAGACATGGCAACATGTATGGCAAGAGCATTTCCCCTCTGTACTGTGTAGTAATGGAAAGAGAAATGGACTTCAAAATATCACTGGGGACACTAAGTTTTAAAACATTTAACTGATGTTTAAAAAATATAATTAGAAGACACAGGATGACCCACTGCAACAATGATATTCACAAGACACTATGTTGGAAATGAACTTTACAACTCTGGGGGAGGAGGAATTAGGGAGGGAAGGGATAATAGGAAAAAAACAAAGGAGGGGGTAACAAAGCTCAACAAGAAAGGTACTCATTACCTTACTCATGGAACTGTAACCTCTCCGTATAGCATCTTTACAATAAAATAAAATTTTAAAAATATTAAAGAGGAGAATTCAGACATATCAAAGTACTTGCTTTAAAAAATGTCTGAGGGGCTGGGAAGTTGGCTCAGTGGTAGAGCGCTTGCCTTGCATGCCTGAGGCCCTGGGTTTGATTCCTCAGCACCACATAAGCAAAATGAAAAAAGTCGGAAGTGGTGCTGTGGCTCACGTGGTAGAGCGCTAGTCTTGAGCTGAAGAGCTGAGGGACAGCACCTAAGCCCAGAGTTCAGGCCCCACGACCGAAGGATAATATGACTACTTGTTTAAAAATTCAATTAACCTTATCTTTCTAAAACTTGATTTATTAATAATCTCACAGATAAACTGCCAATTTTAAAAGAGTCCTGTTATCTTTGGAACGCGTCTTATCTGAGGAACTTTAGAAACTACTTGGAATGGACAGAAAATGTCAGTTTATTTTAATGATTTGTTTCAAGAACAAATCATAGTTCCATGAATGAATTCTGCTTTAAAAGCACATTAATAGTCTCTTGTCAGTAAGATGTTGGTGTCCCAAACAACTCAGAAGAAAACAGTCAAACTCTTATTACCAAAAACATGCATGACGAACATTTTACATCTCAAATAACATGTAAAAACAGTTTGTAGAGGGGCTGGGAAGGTGGCTCAGTGGGAGAGGGCTAGCCTCACAGCATGAGGCCCTGGGTTCAATTCCTCAGCACCACATAAGCAGAAAAAACCAGAAGTGATGCTGTGGCTCAAGTGGTAGAGCGCTAGCCTTGAGCTAAAGAGCTGAGAGACTGCACCCAGGCCCTGAGTTCAGGCCCTACGACCAACAAAAAAACAAATAAACAAAAAAGAAGTTTGTAGACAACCAATGTACTATGAAGTCACAGTCCTACAAGACTAGGAGGATTTCCAATAGAATCAAATCCCATCCACTTTTGGATGTCAGTGCTGACATACAGTTTGCCAAGTCAATCAAATCCCTGTATTCTTTCACAGGCTTACATACAAACTTAACACAACTTGCAAATGTCTAGAAATGAAATTAAATATAAACCTGAAAATTGAGTAAAGAACAGACTAAAATGAAACAACTTGCCTATCTAAGGCACTCTTTCTTGGCATATATACAAAATTTCAATATGAGAAAATAGAATACCACACCTAAAAGGCATTGCAAAGTCTTTATTTCCTCTGAAAACTTACAATGTGCAAATTATAAATTACCATATATTCATGCTTTTCAAAATTTATGTAAGTTAACAAATTATCTGATACCAATAGCATCAAATAACTGATTTGCAAGAAAATTGTTATAATTCCTGTGTTAAATGACTGCCACTAATTAGCAATTATATCTCAATAAAGTCTTTCAGAACTCATTAGGATTTTGGATAAAGGTAAGCCAATACAGAAGACTATGTCTTTGACAGAAATTAGTAATTATCAATAATCAAGCTAATAATCATGGCTATTATTGAAGACAAAGGGCTGCCATATCATTGCTCTAGAATTTACTAATTGATGTGGCTATTTTACTATAGAAAAATATATAATTAACCTTTATTATAAACAAATATTTTTTCCTTGAGCAGGCATATAAACTAGAAAAAATGCAGACATAACATAGCATTAGTTATTAGTTCCCTTATCAATCACTAAACTGAATACTATAGTGTTTGATTAATAAGAAGCATGCAAAACTCATTTTAAACACATGAATCAAAAAATTTTAATAATAGCAACTTGCAAAATTTTAAATTAGGTACTGAAAATTTTTGCAGTATGTACAATATATCAATTTATTCCTATGAATTCTGGTTTGAAGTATTAAAAAAGATTTTTCTTTGATTTAAAACTATAGAAAGCAAATACTTGTAATAATTAAAATAACTGAAGAGAAAGCTCTTAGCATAGTTTCTATTACATTCAGAGGCAACAGGAAATAGCTACAATTCTCTAACAATGTTTTTAGCAGTTGTGTAGTATTTTAATCATCACTGATCATATTCAGGAGCTCTTAAGCATTTCAACAGTATGTAATAAACAACGAGGGATGCTTTGATGTTGTTAAATGGATAAGACAGAGTATAATATGGGCTGGGCCATGATAGCACAAAATAGCTCCTATATTGTTCTATATATAGACAGCTGCAGTAAGGCTTACCAGAATTTTTCTAGGTATTATTCTGAGCCTACTCTGATTGTCTGTTTACATAAATATGCATGCTGCACTCGAGGCCTTCATTCTAAGACTATTACAAAGTCTGTGTTTATTGGTGCAATTTACTGAGTTACACTGAGATTCAATACTGCCAACTAATGGAACCTTTTATATTGCTGGTACAGAAAGGTAGGATCAATACCCAATATTTGTATAGACAGGTTTTAGGCATTTAGTGCATGCCCTAGTTGGGCTTCAGAAAAACGTGATTCGACTTAAGATGTGAATCCTTATAACAAATTAGGTTATAACGTGATTCTACTGTCCCTGATTTGTGTGATAATATAAAAGAGGAAGACAGGCGAGTTCTAAAGAGACTGGGAAGGGACTATACACAGGGTAATAGGGGCAGGAGCAGCCAGAGAGGCTGGCAAGTTTTCTGTCTGGATTCAGCTCTGTGCAAAAGTTGAAAGGGTGAAGCAAGAGCTACATTCCTTGGCTATGTCTATATCTAGTAAATCTGTGACTAGTCACAGTTGGGTCCTTTAAGACCTTGCTAGGAAACCTGGTAAGGTTAGAGATCATCTGCAGATGTGTGTAAGAACTATGTGCTTTCTGCTGAAGTGATGGCTCCTGATAGGCAATACAATACAAGCCAGATCTGGAGACAGGAAAATGAGTTTGTTTATTCATATAGACAGCTCTGAGATCAACTATTGCTCAAGAAAAAGTAGACCATCACAATTTGACATTGGAAAAATTTAAATATAGGCACTGTCACTATTGTCACTGTAACTAGATTTGCTGCCTATGTCAAGCATTTGTATTTTTATGTGGAGGATGTATCAGACTTCATCAACTGGCAAACTCTGCTCAGTTCTTGATGATTTCATATTGAGAAAATGATGTTGAAGAATTTTTAACATAACATTGTCTTTAGTAATGTTTCAAAAATCCCAATTCCATGGGTTGTTATGTTTAATGGCTTACAAAGAGGACATTACATATTAATTTAAGAAATAAACCATTTCAAAAGCGTATTGCAATAAAATAAGTTTCTTGCTTTGTAAGAAGTTGACAGCAAGCAATTATTTGTTGCATGAAGGTTTTTTTATATTCATTCCCATGAATATTATGAATGGGAAAATACTAAATCAACTTTTTCCAGAAAACGTATATTCGAAAGATGGCTACATTCATTTTTGTAATCATTCTCATTGAATAGACATTCTATTACTATTTCCACTTTACATCTGGAGAAAGTGAGGGTCAGGAGTTAAAAAATTTGGCTAAACATCATGTGCCTAGCACATTTAGGACTAGGGTTAGGTCTGCAGAAAATTACAAAATGTAAGTGCACCACTTACTTGACGGGGTAGAAACATCAATTCTGGTATCCAAATGTTCCCTTCCACTCTTTCATTTCTTTGTTATTGAGTTTTCCCAGTGTATAAGTGATTCACAAACAAAACACGGTAAGTATTTAAAAGCACTAAGGAGTAATGAATTCATGATTCATAAAACTGTTTAAAAATCTTAATATTAGCATTTTCAATTTTTTTTGGCCTGTCCTGGGGCTTGAACTTAGGACCAGGGTGATGTCCCTGAGCCTCTTTGTGCTCAAGGCTAGTTCTATACCACTTGAGCCACAGCACCACTTCTTGCTTTTTCTGAGTAGTTGACAGGAGTCTCAGAAAAGTCTTCTGTCAAGGCTAGCTTTAAACTGAAGTCCTCAGATCTCAGCCTCTTGAGTAGCTAGGATTACAGGTGTGAGCCACCAACTCCCAGCTCATTTTCCATTCTTAACACAGAAAATAAGACATTTATTCCAAATGTAGGCTACTCTGTGTACCATATTTTAGTTTGATGTATGCTATTATCTCTTATGTCATGATTCTCATACTCCTGAAGAAAATAATTTAAACAATCAAAAGGAATATGAGAATTAATTCTAAACAAGTGATTTTTTCCTACAAAGATTCAAAATATTAAATAAAAGTAGTCCTAACACTACAAAATTATCAACAATGCATAGGATCACTTTCATATCCATAACAATATTCCTGGGAATTCATCCATTTACAATGTTTATCTGCCAATTTCCTAGGTTTGGTATTTGAAAACAGGCAAATCAATGTGCTTTACAAGTATTTCATGTTCCTGGAATGTTCTCTTTAAAGAAAATTCCCCTCTGGATTTCTCTGACTTGTTTCTTGTACTTCTGTATGTCAATTGGCTTTTGCTTTTGAACATTAAAAAACCACTCCTTGTAGCAAGAAAACTCTGAGGCCAGGAAAAATTTCCAAAGCGGGGAATGGAGTTTGGTGTATATACTTTATTCACAGGGTTCCTCTGGGTTTCCCAGGCTTGTATTTTCAACAGGAATCTCTGAGCTGACCTCTGCTGTGGCACTGGATTCAGAAGCTTCTGGCTGTAAACTGTCTCCATCAAGGATAATGTCTTCAGGATTTGGTGGAGGAGGACAGAAGTCTTCGTTGGGACAGATTTGCTGAAAAAGTGTTTCAGCCTGGGCCAATGATAAACAGAAGAACTTTTGAACATAAGCTTACCAAATACAAAAATTCTTCGTACTATCTACAAACAAATTGGCATTCTTAAAATTTCTTTAACTGGATTGTAATAATTCACAAGTACCAATGACCTACTAAAATTGGTTTTTCACAATCCTGTGACTTTTGTACCTCTAATTATATACACGCACTCATGTCTGCTCTTCAAAGATGGTACACCTTGATCAGATACATTATTGAGTGTTCAGATTATTGATAATGTAGGTATGTTCATATTATATAGCAACAGAGAAATATAATCTCAATATTTTTACATATAATTTCCTTATACAATATTTTCATACCTATGGTATTCTTTGTGTATAATAATCTTTATACACTGAATAGATTGAAAAGGCTGCTGTGTCATTTGGTAACTATGTGGTTTGGAGAATGCTCAGGCTTTACTCTTCACCCTGGGAACTCACCATAGGTCCTTGTTAGAGATAATTCACCTCTAGTAGAAGCTGCAGGACTTAGGTCAAAGCTTTCATGTGACCCTTCATTTCCTCTAATGACTTTTTTGGGGGTCACACGTCTATCTCGTCTGCCTGTCAAAGTTCTTCTTTGTCTTTATATCCTAAGTGCAAACAATTGCCAAATCCTGGCAATGTTACCTTCTATTTCTTATTTTTTGTCTTTTTTTTTTGGTATTGGGGATGGAACCCAGGATATAACACTTGCTAGGTAAGTGCTTTGCACTGAGCTACATCCCAATCCATCTTCTATTTCAACAGAGCCCAAGTAGAGTATCATCGATTACGGTTACAACTATAAGTGTTGCTAAATTCATGAATGTTCTGAGGAGCTTTTGTAAATATTCTTCATTTGTAAATAGTCTTCTTTTGTAAATATTCTACATGTAAGAAACAAATAACCAAGTGGTGAAGGAGCTAACCATAGGGTGATAAACTGACATTAGAATTTCACTCATCTAAATAAACTAGATATAAATATCATCAATATGCTATAAAATAGACATTATAATACTTTTCCCCAAACTGATATGAGTGTCAAAGATATTCAACAAATTTTAAACAACTAACGTTTAATAGCACATAATAATTAGTTCAAAACTAGCATTACACTGTTTTTGACTTTGATAACACTTTACCACTGAACATTATCTTCATGGAAAGAAAATTATTTTGTGATAAAAATCCTCCCTTAATTATAATCTTCTGACGTGTAGTTTTGACCACATTAGCACTTGAGTTACAACTTCTGATTTTAAAAGCTTTCCATTTTAGTTTTAAAAAATAAAATTGATTCCCAGATAAATGAACCTAAGTTAGTTAGCTAAAAAGTTGTAATTTCTTCTTGGAAAAAGTGGGGCTATCAAAGTTAAATTGAAGTTACCAGTGAAAGCCACAAATGGAAATCTTGGGCCATCTTGTGTTCCTATTATAGTAACAGAACTCATCATAGAAGAAAGATATGACTACTTGCTCTTGTTTGCTCTCATTGGCTGAACATGGTTTTCCAAGACTACTACTCCAAAGAAGAAACACAATAATTATGGAAAAAGTTTAGACATCTGGATCATGGTTATCATTCAGAACCTTGTCACTATGATTAAAAATGAAAGGTTCATACAAAGCAACAAAAAAAATCACATGGTACCTTACAAATACGTTAGAAACAATAGCAAGAAAGAAAAAACACTTGGGGTTCATTTCGCTTAACATCATTGTTGCTTTGTATGTCCCTCACTGTATTTGATGTTGGTATAATTTGGGGAGGGGCAGGGAACAAACAAAATGTTTAAATAGGGATACAGGTTGACCCACTGCAACAATGAGATGTACAAGACACTATGTTGAAAAACGAACTTTACAATTTAGGCAGGGGGTGGGGAGTGTAGTTGAGGAGGTGGGAGGGAAGGGATGGTAGGGGACAAACAAAGGAGGAGGCAACAATGCTTGATAAGAAATGTACTCATTACCTTGCTTATGTAACTGTAACCCCTCTGTACAGTATTTTCACAATAAAACACTTATTTTAAAAAATGAAAGGTTCAAGAGACCGTTGGCTACTAAAAAATCCCCATGCTCTTGGAGGGAATGAAATCAAGTCCCTGCCATCAGCTGTCTTGATGTTATATTAGCCATTCACGGATTCAATAAACATATGTGATAACACATCTGTATGATAACATATTCAGAATTGTGTCTCAAATAATAAGTTTTGCTTTTTTTCTCTTAAGAAGTGTATTTGCATATGCATATGAATCTTCTGTTTAATGGACTCATACTTTATTTTTGGCCTGCACCCCTACATAATTCTGCCTGGGATCACTTGTCACAAACCTCCACTTGGATTTATCATACTCTTCAGTGGCTGTAAGCACTAGTTTAAGTCAAGACATTAATAACAATAACATTAACAATTAATAATAACACTAATAATTGTGAAAACCTATGTTATTCATTCTTTCCCAAGAACAAAAACTGCTAAGATTACTGTAAAATTTGATTGTATATGTCTTAATAATTACATGTCTTGAAATGACTCACACATGTGTCTTGAAATGACTACACATTTCAAAGTAAGACACTGATAGGCCAACTTTCTATCAGAAGCAATACTTCCTCAGAACATCAGCATTATAAATTTATTTATTTATTTTTGTCAGTCGTGGAGCTTCAACTCAGGGCCTGGGTGCTGTCCATGAACTCTTTTTGCTCAAGGCTAGCGCTCCACAACTTTGAGCTACAGCATTTTTCTGGTGGTTAGTTGAAGAATCTCACGTACTTTTCTACCTAGGCTGGCTTTGAACCACAGTCCTCAGATCTCAGCCTCCTGAGTTGGTTAGGGTTACATGCATGAGCCACAGGCACCCTGGCTGTACATGTATTTTAATGAACATGTATTTCTATAATTTCTATCGTTATTTCCAAAACGGACCTCATATAATGTTGTCTTGTAGTTCCAAGAAAAAAAAACAAAGTTTGGGACTAATTAGCATGAAATGAGACAGATGTTTTTCTCGTCTCCTTCTCCTCCTCCCACAAGACAGAAAACAACAACAACAACAAAAACAACAAAAAACACCTCATGATTCTTACCACACATTTTCTTAAAACTGGATAACACCAAAAGCCTTACCTGTTTGACTGCCTTATCATTTCCTAAACCACAGTCTGGGCCAGAGCAGACATAAACATTGGATGGTAAATCATTATAACAGTTTCTGCTGATGTCTGAAGAGTCTCTCATATTGAAGTAGAGAGCCCAGAGAATTCTTGGTTTTTCAATTTCTTCATGTTCTAATCATAAAAATAAATTTTACTTACATAAAACACATAAAGCTTGTCAATTAATACATTATATAGTCAATAAACAAGAAAGCTATGGAAATTTTAGTAAATTTCAGAATTTTGTATGTATGTATGTATATATGTATGTATGTGGAGTTATTCATATATGAGCAATTAGAAAATGTACATCCACAAACTCGAGTATAGGTATAAAATATTTCCAGCAATGATGGATTTTTAAAGTTTAAAACAAGTTGAATTTTAAAAATTATTTTGATTAGTAAGTTAATTTGCTTTTCTATTATATCTTATTAGAATAAAAAACCCTCTTAAGACACTCATCCTTAAATCATCCCTATGATATGAAATGATAACATCAATTCACTTTTGTGTTACAACTGAAATACCAATTGATAATTATATAGTAAGTTAATAGTATACACATATGAGATGTCCAGAGTGAGCAAATCTATGCAGATTAGAATTAGTAGCCTCTTAAGGCTGGAGGAAATTAGGGGCAAATAGAGGGTGAGTGATGATAGAATGTTTCTTTTGAAGGTGATGTAAATGATAGGTATAAGTATTCTTTCCTAGGGATGATGTGACAGAAATATCCTAAAATGCACATATCTGCAAATATATATTTTTAAAAAATAGAATCTTAATTTTCAGGTAAATTATATAGCTTACAAATGATATTTCACTAAAGGTATTATTAAAAGTGGCATGCACTGGATTAAATCTTTGATACTTTAAATAATAATCTAATGCTTTGTCATACTGAATCACAACATCAATGGGAAGCAAGAAATAACAACAATGAAATCATGAGACAATATCATTGTGAACACAGGTTCTTTCATTGAACAGCAAGTCTCTATCGTGCATGGTAGGCACTGGCACAGGAACTGGGAACACAGAAAAGGATATAAGTGTGATTGGATTTTTGGAGTTTTTTTTTTTGCTCACTACTACAGGCCCTAGCACATAACAAATACTCAGTGACTTCTGAATTGCTTTAAACCAGCTTTCAAGCATAATCAAAGTACAGTATATCTATAAAAAGGTTTAATCTTATTAGCATCAATTCCTAAAACCTATTTCTTATTATCTTACTAATTATTTCTCTGCTGCAAAGACAAAAAATACTGTTATTCATTGACAATAGGGATTTCTGAATGGGTATTTAAACTCTGTATAATGATAATACTAGATGTTTATAAAGATTATACAATTCTAAGAGGCCCTTTGTGAGTGGTAAATAAAATGCTAAAGGTATAATTATCTAGTGATTTAGTTATTGTTAAATTGATCATCAGTGCAGAGGAATTTTCAGCTAATTACAGTATTCAATTAACAAAAATACCCTACTTTCCAATTCAAGATAAATAAGATTAGAGTTAATTTAAAATATCTCCAGTGCAAGAATTCAAAAAAATGTTACTTTTATAGTTCACTGTAAATCCAAAATTATTTCTGTGTGAGAAGATAAACTCTAACTAGAAGAAGTGATCTCTTAAGGAGTCCCTGTCTAATGCTAAGGTCAAATCTAAGGCATCACTAACTTCACTAGGTACCTATTAACAAAATAAAAGAACGCAAAGCACTGGTATTTCACAGATAAATCCATATGGCTACTAGAACATTCATATGAGAGCTTAGTTTCACTTAATTATAGAGACTTTACTTAAGGATATTGCTGGGAAGACTTGTAGAGACAAGAACTACATTATGAAAGGGTTTTTAAAAAATTTTATGTTAGATGTGTGACTTGAACTCAGGGCCTGGGTGGTATCTCTGAGCTCTTTTGCTCAAGGCTAGCTCTCACTTTGAGCCACAGCTCAAAGTCTTTGAATGGCTAATTGAAGATAAGAGTCTCATGGAGACTTTTCTGCTCAGGATGGCTTTGGACCATGATCCTCAGAGCTCAACCTCCTGAGTAGCTAGGATAACAGGCATGGGTCACCAGCATCAGCTTGCTTTTGTTTTTATAGTACTTAGGATTGAACCCAAGGCCTCTGTATGCTAGGCAAGAACTCCACAACTACAGCTACACTAACAGTCCTTATGTTTTCATTTTGTTTTGCTGCTCTTGCCCCAGCTGGCCTTGAACTCCCAGTTGTACTGTCTCAGATTCCTGAGTAACGGGGCCACTGTCTAGCTGGAAGGCCTTTAATATTGTCTAATCCCTATCTAAGCATATTCTATGACAGCTTATACATTCTTCATCAAAGTTTCACCTAGAAGGAAGACTTATTCAATAAAAATCAAGGGAAATTAATAAACAAACAGATCATACAAAAGAGATTTCACAGAAGTTGAAGCTTTGACAAGAAATCATGTGTAAAGGTAAATGTTGGTATAGGCTAAAGATAAATATTCTGGATACAAGAGAGCTTTTATACTTTGGCCTTAAAACTTTCAAATATGTTACAATTGCTTCATCTTTCTTTAAGTTCATCTGGAAGTCAGATAGATAGCTGAAGGAACAACAGAGTTGTAAAGTGCACAACTGTCAAAAAATATTAGAGTTTAAATAAGTATCTCTTACAAGTTGCCAAGAAATAGCCCATTTCATTTAGTTGGATAGCATGAAGGACTAAAGAAGTTTGAATACAACCTTGGGAATTAAACAAAATAAGTACTGAATAAAGCAGGTAGAAGAAAAGCAATCATGGCAAACCAAATAGAAGCAAGAAATAGTCTAGAGATGGTTGCCATATATGGAGGGAGTCAACATCCTAGTTAAGTTGTTTTTACCCACTGTCAAAGTAGAGTAGCCCTCACTCAGTCAGAACAAAATACATACAAAAAACCAAAACACCAGCTGTGAAATAAGATATTTGTTTTTATAGCCAAACAAGTGCTTAACACCTTATCAGCCACTTATTCAAAGTTTACACGTAGGGGTGTTAGGGTAATTTGGTTTTGGGAAGTACTGTTATATGACACAGAAATCAATGACATGAAATGGAGTAATTACACCAGCCATGTAGAACAAGAGGGGAAAATGGGGAAAAAAGATGGTGGAATGATGTCATTACATTTTAGGCATTTCAAGATGGTGCCCAGAAAGTATGGTTCTTGTATTACAATAATACTTTTTGAGTCAGGGCATAGGTGGTTCTGGCTGCTATGTATAAGGGAAGATATAAGATAGAAAATATTTTCAGAACCTTACAATTTCTTGAATACATTTTCACAAAAGTACTGTACTTTAGGGGCTGGGAAGGTGGCTCAGAGCGCTTGCCTTACATGCATGAGGCCCTGGGTTCGATTCCTCAGCACCACATAAGCAAAAAGAAAAAAGCAGGAAGTGGTGCTGTGGCTCAAGTGGTAGTGTGCTAGCTTTGAGCTGAGGGACAGCACCCAGGCCCAGAGTTCAGGCCCCACGACAGGAACGCCCCCGCAAAAAAAAGTACTGTACTTTAAAAGAGAATATTATCTTTTTAAAAACTATATATTTATTTTTTTAGGTAGTTGTACAAAGGAGTTACCATTCCACACAAACTTTCTTGTAAGGAAGATCAGAATAGATTGATTTGCATAAAGGCTTATTGCACCATAAGGAATCTACAAGATAACAATGCTCGACAAGAAATGTACTCATTACTTTAACTGTTGTAACTGTAACCCCTCTGTACAGCATCTTTACAATAAAATAAAATTGAAAAAAAAGAAAAGGAAGCCTTGGAACATGTTTTAACATAAAATTTTTGTAATACTCAAGCATAAGGTTTCAGACAATTGTCAAATAATCAAAACATAATAAAAAGCCCCCAATCTGTGGGAAAAAAGGCTTTTGTTAAAGAGGAGAATGCACTTTAATGTATTAAAAGTTCATATTGCTCATAAAGTTCCTTCTTCTCATTTAGGCAGGAAAATGAATTGAGTTCTCTTCTCCAGGTGACTTTGCCTCTTTGACCTGCCATGGCCCAGTGCTCACTTTATCTGGTGATTCATTTTCAATAACTCCAACAGTATTTGTTCTGACATTTTAATTAAAATATGACCACTACCTCATCCTGATGATAAAAAGGTCTATGTGTCAGTGAAAACTAGCTTTTCAGTGCCTCGGTGCACCTGAGGACCCCTCTGAGCACATACTTCTTACTAAAGAATTTCACTCAAGTTCTAAACAATATATCATTTCAAAATGGGATCACTTTAACCATTAAGATCTGTCTTTAAAATTCTTCACTGGCTACAGTATGTTAATGAATGAACATGTACTTTCTCCCGGCTTGATTTCCAAGAAAGAAAATTAAATGCATTATAAAATAATATAAGATGCAAATTTAGTGTATTATCAGAGACCATTACAATGCAATTACAACAAAGCCATCATGAAAAATTTCAGAAATGGCAAAGAAATTCCATTTATATAAATAATTTATAAATAAAGCCGAGGACAAAGCTATAAATCCATTAGGTTTAGGAATATTATTATGTACAAAACTTGACAATCAAAATTTTAATAACAATCCAAACATCTATATACTATCAAATAAAGAAAATATTTTAAAAATTAAATGCTAAAGTAAAATAATTTTTTAGATTAAAGGACTTGATTCAAAGAGTTCACAAAGAAATGGATTACAATAACATCAGTTCTTGAAAATAGTACCATTTATCTTAGGTGTAAATATAAACTCATCTCTTCATTAAGAAAACAAACAAGACACAGGAAAAAAGCTAAGCAGAAACCTAACAGTTACAAGTAAAAAGAATAGTTGAACAAATATAACTAATTAGAAAGAAATATTAATGGAAGAAAGTGACCAAGATTCAAGTAGGCATGCAAATGCTATAATAATCACTTCCACGTCATATAAATGAAGAAGATCCCTCAAACTATTTTGTTGATCACTTATACACAAAACACACGACATTTGCTATTTTCACAGGTGTAAGCACTCCTGTATTTGGTGTGGGAGGTGTTAAAAATTCATACCGAAAAAACATTTTTCCACCATGAATAAGAACCATGTCTATCTTTGATAGGTAAATGTCACATCATTAGTATCCAATAAGAGATCCTTTCAAATCAGAAAGTACCTATATATTGCTAATATTTCAATCTTCCATCAGTTGAACAAATCTTTTTTTAAAGGAAGGTAGCTTTTTGACATATATATATATATGCGCTCTTATAAAACATCAACAAAAGAGCGTTATAAGGTAAACTGCCCAGCACCATACCAAAACTAATTGAGAAATTTCCTGACAGTCTTGATTTTCTTGTGCATGCATGTATGCATATAATTACTTTTTCACATCTGTTTCTGTGTTTGTGAAGAATATTTACTTTAATATTAGACAGTTAACACTTTCCCCCATGTTTATGTATATACTGTGTTCAACTACTTCAGTAAAATGTGGAAGTTGTTGCTGAATACTATCTATTTCAGTCCAGGTCTGAGCAACTTGAAAGCATTATCTTAGAGAAATATGATAGGTACATTACCTTTCTATCATGAATCACCAATTACTTTTCTTACCTAGCTCCGGTTCTTCATATGGACCAAATAATTTTTGTACAACTGGTTCTAAATCTTCACGTGCTGTTTTAGAAGATGTGCAAGTCAAATGAACCAAATCTGTAAAAAAATTATTTTGACTTTTGCATATCATAACTCTGTTTTACTCCAATCCAAGGCACAAAGCTTGCATCATGAGTAATAGTGAGTTGAGTAAGTCAGTGACTTAAAAGGAAACATGTAAAATTCCTCCATTAGGGTATATATTAATTAAATAATGAAAATGTTGCTAATAGCTACAAGAAATCATAATAAAACTGAATAATGAAGACACAAGGATAATTTTCTAAAATGGAATATAAAAACTCAAGAAAAAATTTATTCACACAAACAAAATTCTTAAATAAGACAGAAAAGTAAGAAAATTATTATTTTTTAACGAGACAGCTAGCAGCTACAAGGCTTGGGTTTGCTCTCCAGCAATGGGACAGAGAAGGTTCCAACATTCAGGAGCCTGACATAGGAGGATCATGTTACCTGGGCTACATAGAGATTTCAAGATGGGTCTGGGCTGTAATAGAACCCTAGCTAACAAAAAAGCCGGGCACTCATGCCTGTAATTCTTGCTACTCAGGAGGCAGAGATCTGAGGATCATGGTACAAAGCCAGCATGGGCAGGAAAGTCTGTGAGACTCTGATCTCCAATTAATCACCAGAAAACCAGAAGTGGTGCTGTGTCTTAAGTGGTATGTGCCCAGGCACCGAGCTCAAGCCCCACGACAACCACCACCAACAACAAAAAAGGATAAATTTAGAGGATTTACTAATGTACAAGAATCTGTTTATATACACATTGCTGATAAGTTAACAACAAATCTTGTATTCATCACCAGGTTATGTAAAAATTTTTTTTGGGAAACATTCATGGTTTAGTTTGAATTATATACAGAAGTCTATAAAATGGCACTAGTCAAAATAATCTACAATAGACTTTCTGGAATTCTCAATTGCTTTTCGTTTGCATTAGCAATTTCATGTGGCAGAGGCTTTGGACAATGTTTAGGTTACAGACTATTGAGGAAAAAGGGCTTATTATAGAAATGGTAAAACTCTTACAGGCCTATGTACAAAGGAAAATGCTTAGTGCATGAGTAAAATTGGGGCTTGTGTAGGGTAGGATAAAATAGAAAGAACACATTACAGAAGAGAGAGGGTTAAGAAATTTCTTCCACTATTGAATTAGTAAAATGGTACTTATTTTCCAAGAGTTTATTTCAGATTAACAAATGTTTTTAACCCTGTGAAGATAATTCAAATTTTAGCATAAAAGCCAACATCACAATGAAATTCTCATTTTCAAAATTCATCCCTTCGATAAAGAAAATGGGCTATACATAATGGAGTTCTTTCCAACCATAAAAGAGGGAAATTATGTAATTTGCAAGGAAGATGAACTCTTCATGTTAAGTGAAATAAACCATTCTCAGAAAAGCAAAGATTATGTTTTCTCTCATAGGAAAAGAAAAAAAAAGCATGAAAGTAAAAGGGAGACTTACTAGGAATGTGCAAGGGAAAAAAATAGAGAGGAATAAAGAAGCAAAGGAATAAGCAAAATATAAGATTCATTATATGCATATATGAAAATTATTCATTTCAAATTTAACTACTCTCAATTATCTAATAATAACTTGGGAGATACTCAGTATGCATGTGAACTAAAATCAAATTTTGTAGTTCCTTCTCCTGGTTCACCAAAGGAAGTGATATCATAGGATGAGTCCTGAATTACTTAGAACCTAATAAAAAAGATAGTTTATTTATTAATTCATTTTACATTAATTATACAATGATTCCCTTTGTGTTTTCTTTGGGGGATACTCTATGATATACAAGATTCATTTTTCAAAAGGAAAATGTTGGACAAATGTTTTATTCACTAAAATTAAAGAGTTAATTAGTGAATTAAAAACAATGAAGTTCACAACAAAATTATTCCTAATTAACTTCAAAAAACTTTTTCAAATGCATCTTAACTCTGGTGGAGATGTGGCTTCTACACCCTAAATAACACCAATGTCCACATCAGTCAGTTTTCAATTTACCACTTCTTTCTTATTTAACTGCTGTTTGCTAGGGAAAAGACAAAAGAAAATAAGTATGAATGTGATACTATATTATCAGAGGAGACTGGGTGCATTCAGAGTGGTGTGGCTATAGACAAGATAATATATTTTCAGAAATATTTTGCTGTGAGCACAGGCTACAACAGTCTGCTACATAAGGGTCTCCCCGAGCAGGAATCCAAGCTGCCTATGCTGCCAGTCCCTGGCTGAAGTCAGAACTGACCTTGTGGGCTCCAAAAGCCTGTGATACAAACACAACCAGGCAGGAGATGGGGCAGCTCAGACTGCCAGTCCCTGGCTGATGTCTGGAACTGTAAGTAGGCTCCAGCAACTGGTGGAATACATCCAGCCCAGCAGGTTTTGCCAAGAGCACCCGTGGGAGGGATTCCGAGCAGCTTAGGCTGCCACTCCCTGGCTGAAGTCGGGAACTGCCTGTGGGCTCCAGAAGGCAGCTGAACGAGCCCCACCTATGTGCCCCTGTTGTAAGACCAAGCTGCACAAGCAACCCATCCCTGACTGAAGTCAGGAACTGTGCACCTACCTCAGCAGTGGGTGGAGTGTGTCTGCCCACCAGAATCTATCAAGCATGAACACTACATGGGTCAGAATAGCAACTGGAGGTTGACCCCTCCCCCACAACAGAACCAAGACTGGGAAAAGTCCCTCTCAACCAGCCCAGGGCTGAGAGCAGGCTTCAAGAACTGACAGAACCAACCCAGAATCAAGCGAAGACAGTCAATATTAACAAAACAGTCAGAGTTTGGAACGCAATTCTGATAATCCCTGAATCCTCATGTGAAAATCACAGCGCAAAATTACAAGATTCATCAATACTCAAGACAGCAAATCACCCCCAAAGGCTAGTAGCCACCCAGGGATGAACTCCAGTGAAGAGAAAAAGAAATGGAACACAAATGCTACATCCAAGAGTTAATAGAGGCAATGATCCAAGAATTAAAGTGAGAAATGGATCAGAAATTTAAAGAACAAAGAAACAAATTATCAAAGGATATCAGCATATCAAAAAAGAGATGCACTCAAAAATAGATGCAGGATATACCTCATTAAAAGGTGAAATTAACACTTTGAGAACCAAAATAGAAATCATAAATGGTTAAATTTCCTCCATGCAAACAATGGAATCCACAGTTAATAGAGTGAATGAAATGGAAAATAGAATATCAGGTACTGAAGTCAACATGCAGCAATTGGAGAAAAAGTCACAGATATGGAAAAAAAAAACATTCAAAATATACCAAAGGGAATTCCAAGAACAGGCAGACCATGCCAAGAAATTTAACCTTTGTATAATTGGGGTGGATGAAGATGAGGAATACCAGAATAAAGGAATGCAACACTTATTCAATAAAATTATTTCTGAAAATGTCCCCAATCTTAAAGGATAAATATCTCAGCTACATAAAGCAGCATACAGAACACTTAGCAAACAGAATCCCAGGAGGAAGACTTCTAGGCACATCATAGTAAAAATGCTAGATTTGAGTAACAAAGAAATGATTATGCATAGGGAGAGAACAAAGAAGGAGCTATACTACAATGGGATCTCTCTCACTGCAGATCTCTCCCCACAGACAATGAATGCAAGGAAAGTTTGGAAAAGTACCATCCAAGCCCTGAGAACCAATAACAGCTAACCCAGACTGGTATATCCAGCAAAGTTAACATTCATATTCAATGGAGAAATTAAAATTTTTAATAGCAAAGAAAAACTAAATGAATTCATAAACAATAAGTCAGTACTACAAATAATATTAAGAGGGGGAATGCAATCTGAAGAAAACAATCAAGATCAGGGATCCACATCAGACAGATTATCACTAGGAGACCAACTTAGTAAACACAGAAGGAAAGGAAAGAATAACTTAGCAAAGCAGGAAAATGGCAGGAAACGCAAATGAACTCTCTATAATAACCATAAATATTAACGGACTCAATTCACCAATTAAAAGAAAAAGAACTGAAAATTGGATCAGAAAACAAGATCCATCCATTTGTTGTCTTCAAGAGACCCATCTCACAGCTAAAGACAAAAAGAAACTCCTCTAAGTCTGATAGTATTTGCTTAATATGTTTGGGTTCACCAATGTTTGGGGAGTATTTGCTTAACATGCTTTCATGAAAGCATGTTAAGCAAATAACTCTCAGACTTACCGGAAAAAAATAGATCCAAGTACAATAATAATAGGAGACTTTAATACTCCACTCTCTCCAAAGGACAGGTCTACCGACCCGAAGATTAGCAAGGAAGGCTCTGAATTAAATGATACCGTATCTCAAATGGACTCAATAGACATGGACAGAGTTTTCGACCCAACAATAACCCAGTACACATTCTTCTCAGCAGCCCATGGAACTTTCTCCAAAATAGATCATATCATAGCTCAAATGAAGAATTTAAGCAAATACAAGAGTATCGACATAATCCCTTGTGTTCTATCCAACAATAGTTGAATCAAGCTAGTTCTCAATAACAAAGCATAGTGTAGATACCACTCAAATACACAGAAATTGAACAGCTCACTTCAAAGCAATGCCTGGGTAATGGAAGTGATTAAAGAAGAAATTTAAAAGTTCCTACAATTCAACAAAAATGAGTAAACATCACAAAGAAATCTGTGGGACACAGCAAAAGCATTCCTAAGGGACAAATATATTGCTCTCAGTGCACACACCGAGAAAATAGACAGACCAAGTAAATAGTCTCATGATGCAACTAAAAATCCTAGAAAATCAAGAAAAAATTGAACCTAATGTTAGTAGATGAAGCAAGATAACCAAAACAAGAGCTGAAATTAATGATAGAGACTAAGAAAACTATAAATAAAATTAATTAAAAAGCTGTTCTTTTGAAAAAAATTAATAAAATTGACAGAGCTCTGGCAAGACTAACTAAAAAAAGAAGAGAGAAGACTCAAATCAATAAGATCAGGGATGACACAGGGGAAAATTATAACAAACATCCAAGACAACCAAACA